TATCTCAGAAAAACTTCCACCCAGTATCACATTTAATGGTGAAATGGTGACGGTTCCCTGCCTGAAAGCAAGATGAAGGTGTGCGTTCTTGCCACTTGACTTAGCGCGGTAGCCAGTCTGTACCCCAGGCAGTGTGATCATGAAGGACAGAGGAAGAATAGAGAGATTCAAAGTGAAGAAATGAAACTATTCCCATGATACGACGTCTAATGGAACACCCTAAGGCACTTTCAGAAAGCTTCTTGAAGTGAGCTTAGCTTAGTCGCAGAAAACAAGGTAAATATTCAGAAGTCAATGTGTCTGTATATGTGCACCAAATAATTGGAAGTAGAAATGCAAGAGAACACCACTTACAACATTTAATAACTAACTATAGGAAATCCTGGCATGATAAATTGGATTTCATTAAAATGGTAGCCTTTTGCTCCTTAGTAGGTCCTGTTATGAAAATGAAAAAAACAAACTGTATTGGGAGAACATATTTGTAAAACGTAATTTGGCAAAGTGCTCCTCAAATGAACTCACTGCCATCTAGTCGATAGTGACTCAGACTGGCAGCAGCGCCACGGGGCGGGTGGAACTGCCCTGCGAGTTCCTGAGCCTGAGACTCTATCGGCGCGGAACAAACGCCCAGTCCCTCCTTTGGAGCGGCTGGTGGTTTTGAATTCCCGACCTAGCCACCAGGCTCTAACAAAGAACTAGTACTATGTGGTGTAAAGAACGCTTGTGCTGTGGGCCATCAGTCCATTCCAGCCAAGGCAGCCTGCTGGGGCAGGAGACCGAGAGTGACAGTGGAAGGGTGCTCAGCAGGAGGCGTCTGACTCACATAAGATTCATTGACGGTAAGTGGTCCATTTGATTGACCACTTGATTGACGTCTGAATATTTACCTTGTTTTTTAAACAAAAGTGCATGTTAAGTTATGTAACTGCCACAATCAGGATGTAGATTTAAATCAGCCGGGAGAGTTTCTTCAACACCCTTTACAGGGGAGCCCCTTTCGTTGGCAGTGAATGCTGTCACTTGTTTTCCTTGAAGTGAGAGACTCACCCCATCCACGTCTGAGAAAACTGTGCCAAACAATTGAATGAGAGGAGCCATAGTTTGCCTGGATTCTTTCACGTAAAAATGGGGTCTCATGATAAACAGCCAGTTTGAGCTCACAGTCGATCACACGGATGTGTTCTCAAGTATCCATTGTAGTCCGTATGCAGTAGAAGTGCTGTGTTCATACTTACCACTTTAACACAGAGATTATTAAAAGACACAGGTCAGCATAGAATAAACGCAATAAAAAGTCAATAGCTTTTCAGTATTATGGAAATAGCTTGTACTTTGTGTACCCCTGAAAGAGTCTCAGAGACCTGAGTTGGCGGCCTGAGTGCTTTGAGAATGTAGCACAGTGTCCCTTTGTGGCGATCCTGCCCCCTGGAGGACACTGCAACCATTCTCCTCTAAAGCCTAACTCACTATGGAGTTAGTGACCCTGCAGGAGAGGGGAGAACTGCCCCTGTAGGTCCTGAAGCTGTAAACCCTTACAGGGCAGAAAGCTGCATGTTTCTCCCACGAGCCAGCTACTGGTTTCCACGGTGGTTTCCACCGTGTAGTGAGCGGCCCAGCATGTGATTCACGCTGCCCCCAGGGCACGTTGGAATGATCTGGGGATGGTGGGGTGTTTGTGTGTTGGGGTGGGCTGGGGGTAATTTCAGGGCAGACCACCAGCAGCACTGAGACATGGAATTCAGCATCCTCCTTGCCAAGTGGCAGAGCGCCTAAAGATGGGTGAGCACAATTTTCATTCATGATCATCTTGACGTATGCCACTTTCTGATCAGGGATTACTGGACTTCTTGTACCACTAGGTTTCTAGCCTAGCTTTATGCGGTAATTAGGTTTAACAAAGAAAGTAAAACAAAACTCTTTCACATCTGGGATTTTATTATTTCACACGATAAATTCGGTAAGTGCCTCTTTATTATTCATGAGATTGCTTTAGCAAATTTCTGGAGTGATTCTTACATTTACAGCCCATGTATGCACAGTGGAGTCATCTTATTACTAAGATGTCTGCTTTGCTAAAAGCCTGGATCTGTCTCCCGGAATGACGCAAATCCCACTGAGCTGTCTGTCCCTTGGTCTACCAGAAACTGCACACTGGTGGTGCTGGCAGGGTCAACCTGTTGCTATTGAGGAGCTGAAGAAGTACAGGATAGTGCCCCTCAGCTGCAAAGCATGAAACAGGACTTGGGGGCGGGGTGGGGTAGGGTGGAGGAGGGAGGGAGGGAGGAGACTCCATCTAGTTAATATCCTAAGTGAGTATCTCACTTCTTTCTAAATCTCGATGGCAAGCCTGTATTCCTTCTGCAGATATTTTTAACCAGACTCATCTTTAAAATTTACAGCAAACTCAGCAACTTAGTACTTTAATTTCATGAGGAGTTTTCATATATGTACCATACATATAAACAAGTGGGACTCCTGGTGAGGAAGCGATAAACTAGATGATTTCTTTCAAAGACTAGTTAACTCTGCATCTGGGAGCAATTCTCTTTCAAAACCAGTCAAGTCCAGAACCTCTACAGAGCTGTGAAACGAACGTACTGCAGATTTTATTTTGCTCGCTATTAGGATTTTATAATGTGTTCAGAGGTGAGTCGGGAGAACAGACACATTTATAGATGAAGACTATCCAAGTAAATGGGCAGATGTGGGTACCTGACTTCTTCCATAGTTGAGAGTCAGTTGAACTTGGATAGCTATGGAGAGGGGTTGTTTTCTCTTGTTATCGGCTAGAAAGCTCAAAGTTGTATAGTGGCTCAGATGCAGTAACTCACTCTAGAAAGACAGCTCTACATCGTAGGTTTCCAAACTTATTTGGCCTGCTGCTACCTTTTCAGGGGGAAAAAAGCCAAAAATAAAAAACTACCCAGTTCTCCCAGCAATAAAAGCTATTGTGATATAGCCCGTCAAGCAAAACTCAACCTCGCTACTGTCCGGTCATTTCTGACCTGGAGTGACCTTGTCAAAGGACAGTGGGACTGCCCCTATGAGTTTCCAGACTCTTTCTTTAAACTTTTTCAAAATACTCTACTAATATTGGCAGAATATTTGTGAAAACAATCAGTAAACAAGGAATCCAGTAGAGCTATAACATTTAAACATTATGCAAAAACAAAACTATTATCAAGTATTTCCCATAAACCCAGACAAATGGATTGAAAAACTGAGTTAATTGGGTTAATGACATATTAAAATTGACCACAAACCACAGAGAGCGTGTCAGCAGAGCAGCATTTATGTGAAAAAATTTAAAAGTTGTTAGAAAGCTATCCACACCTTGCTGCTGCGCTTTCCTTGTCCAAAGTGCCCCTCCCAGACGATGACATAGCTATAGGCTATTGACATGTAAATGGTTCCAAGATTTAAACTCCTGTTCAACACTCTTGAGTTGCTTCCTACTGCATTTATAATACCATTCAAATTCATTATCACAGCCTAGAAAGTCCGTCCTGTACCAAGGTGACCAACTATACTCATTCTAGCCTTATAATCAGGCCTGTAGTGGGACACGAGCCCCCTGGTGGGGTAGTGATTACTCCTTGGGCTTCGACCCACTTCGTCAGCAGTTTGAAACCAGCGCAGCTCTGTAAGAGAAAGACTGGGCTTTCCAGTCCTGTAGAAGGACAAGACTGTAACTCCTTCCAGGAGCAGGAAGCCTCGCTTTTCTTCTCTGGAGCAGCTGTTGGTTTGCAACTGCTGCCCTTGCTGGTTGCAGCTCCACGAGGAACCCACGGCCCCAGGGCTCCTTCACTGGCAGCCCAGCATCTAGGATACAGGCCCTGTATCTTTGTTTGCAGCCGCCTGGGGTCTTTCCAGCGTCTCCTGGGGAAACTGTGCTCGACAGTGCTGTTTTCAAAGGAAGCACAAACCCCCTCTGTACACACATTTTCTTAGCCTTCTGCTTCAGAGAAAATTCAACACCCCAAGTGATTGTTATAGCTATTTGATGAAGTTGCAAGTTTTCGTTTTAACTATGTGCACTATGGTGCCTTCTAAAATATGTTTGACAGGAATTAAGATGTTGTTTTGAAGGATGGTTTATGTATGTATTATTGCGAATGTATTTATGACTGATATATGTATAATTACGGTGTATATGATTATTTACTACTGCAAATGTATTTATTTATGATTACAACCTCAGCTATTTAAACCATGGCCTAGAACCACAAACAGTTGTTAAAATTTCTGCTCTAAAACAGACAGGTATTCTTTACTGAATAAAAAAATACTTAATTAACATTGATGACTCTGAGGTCAGTATTAATTATGGAACCCGGTGGCATAGTAATTATGTTTGACTGCTAACTTCAAGGTCAGCTGTTCAAAACCACTAGCTGTTCCGTGGGAGTAACACCGGCCTTTCTACTCCCATAAAGAGTTATAGTCTCAAACTCACAGGGGTCGTTCGGCATAGGCTCATTGGCAGTGGATTTTTTTTTTTTTTGGTATTACTTATTTAAACCAAACCTACTGCTTTCAAGCCAATTCTATTTAAAAGAGCAGCAAATTAAGATTGGTGACACAGTATCTTAAGATAGAGTGGGTTTGGGGGAAGGTCTTAGAATGTTAAAATAGTAGGGCTATAATGGGAAATGGGCAGGGAATAGGAAGAAAAGGGATTGGAATGAAAATCTTTTGTATAATCATAAGATACTCATTTTGTATCTTGAAAATGAAGGATGGTGTCCTTTGGGCTTGTAGCTTGTCTCTCCACTGGCACTCCAGGTAGCAGTGTCTTTCGGGCTCTGTCAGAAGCCTCTGTAGGGTATGGAATACTCTTCCTTTCTGTTCTGTGGGTGGCAGCTTTTCAATTCACCGCAGGGGTCCCTGAGAGGACTCTGTTTTTCACAGTTGATGGGTCCTGATATCACTTTGTTACTTGGGGATGGATGGCCATTCTCACCCTTCCTTTATTGAGACGATCTTTTGAATTTCAGGTAAAAAACATCAGAATGAATTTCACCTCCTGGTAGATCAGGCCAAAAAAGGATACAAGAAAACCATTGGCGTGTCAAAAAACAAAGTTACAAAAAAGGAAGAGGAATCTACAGAAAATCTGTTGCCTGTGCACATGGGTAAGAGGCTTTGGTTTAAAAAAAAGTATTGGATTTCACTATTGTAATATAAAAGAAAAGAAAATGAAAGGAGTTCAATTTGGAGTCACTATTTGAAATAATCAAAGGTTTTTCTGGATTGAGTGCATGTGATCGTTGCTGAATACCAACTGAGTTTCTGATTCGAGGGCATGATTGGAAGAATGTCTTGAAGAAAGAGGGTGTTTACAATGTAGCTTCCTTTGGTTAATAAGCAATCTTAAGTTTCTTGGTGTTTCGGTTGGAGGATGTTTTCTAAGGGTAGGAGGGTTGATTGCTGGAGATCCCGGGAGCCTACGGAGATGCACTGTTTGCGATGGAGCCCTGGGAGTCCCTGGGAGTGGCATGTGCTGCTAACCTAGCCGGGGAACAATTAGCGTCACTGAAACCAGCACTTGAAAATGGCTCACGTGTCAAGTTTTTTGCTCTGTGCATGTTACCACACTATATGTGTATATTTTAAAGTAAAATAAGAACTAAAGCTAATATAATGCTCGATATACCACTATGTGGTATCTCCCCTCGCTGTGCATTCATTTAAGTGTTTTGAGATTTGGATTGCCAGGGTGTGGTCCCAGTGAACAAAGCAGAATTAGACTGGGTGGGGGGGGGGGGTGAGTTACCAGAACCTGTTTTTCTAGCGAATGGCTTCTAGGTAGTAGGAAGAGTACTCATTCCTTCTGTTTGTCCTACTGTCCCCGCACTGCTGTCTAGGTTACTGCTCAGTGTGTGCCCCACGGTCTTTGAACAATTTGAACTTGTTCCTGCGGTTGCCAAAGGCTGTTCTCTGAAAGTAATTAAGCATGTAAGAAATTCTGGCTTCCCGTCTGCCATCGGGAGAACATGTTTGTATGTTGGTGGAATCGCTGTTGAGTAGGATTGCTGGTGGGTGTTCGGGGCTCGGAGTTAGGTTTGTGTAGCGTTCAAAGGTGCCTGCTCGTGGTACAGTGCAGGAGTCGAATGGGCATGTCTAAGAGGGTTGGGAGTGAGCGAGAGAGGAGGATGGACCGACGGACACTGACTGAATGGGTAGGTATGATAGGACACTGTACCACCCGTACAACTTTTGCTTGCTAGAGTGAACTTGCTGGTTGAAGTGCCAACAGAAGTCATCAGGAGGCACGTTCTCCCGAGAAAAGCAAAGCCCGTTGGTTGTGGTGGCAGCTCTGATGTCCCAGCCTCCGCTTGGGCCTCTATTTGAAGGTCTGCCTTCTGAGATCTAAGGACAGGAGGACGGATAACTGGCTTTCAACACTGCCTGTGTACTGAACGATGGTCTCCCCCAAGAGGACATGTATCTTCTCGAAACTTGAGTAAGAGCATCAGAAGAAACTGCAGCTGAAGAAAACTAGAAAAGAAAACTGTGTCAGTGGCATTCTTGCTGCCTGGGACCTGAGCTTGACTAATTCTCTTGGTCGGTTGACTGATACCCTGCCTGGGCTCACTGAGTTCACCGGGGAATGCATTCCTCCTAGCGGTCTCCACTTAGACCGTTCACCCTCACGCTCAGCAGTTCGAACTCACCAGCGTCTCCGAGGGAGAAAGAGGAGGCTTTCTACACCGGTGAAGACTGGCAGCTTCAGAAACCCCCAGGGGCAGGTCTACCTGCTCTGGAGGGTTGGTCTGGCTCTAGGAGAGTGATAGGGATCTTGGGGTCTGCTGACAGCAGTGTCCTCAGAGGCCCTGGATGGCCCCCTTGGTTCACTTCCTTTCTCTCTCCTGGGGAGCTCGGGGGTGGGGTTTGTTTTGGTAATCCTGGCTCGTTGCCAGCCTGAAGACAACTGGAGCTTACTGACAGAAACGCTACTTGGTCATGCATGCTGTTCTCCCTATGTAGTAAGCACTTCTGGAAAAGTCTTGACTATATTGAAAGTGCTTTCTGAGGAGTTGGTGCGCACACTTCGCTTCTCCGGGTTGAAACACACAAAAGGAGAGCCCGTGCCCAGTGTGTGAGGCTGGGTGGTCCAGGGAAACAAATCCAGTGACGTAATGTTAAATCAAGAAGGCATCCCAGCCCAGTCCAACCCACCTGGGTCCTCTTCAGACTCAGGTGGCTGCAGGCTGGTGACACAGGAAGATCATCGACCTGTGAGTGTAGAGTCACAGGGATCCAAAGTTGGCAGGGCCCCGACAGCTGTCAGGGTCAGGTGACCACACAGGGCCACCACTGGAGGCAGAGTCCCAGCAAGCAAGAAGGTGAAAGGGCAGAGACAGAGGGCAAGATTCCCCTCTGGTCCTTTTAAGAAGGTCCCACCCCAAGGCAGTCTCATCGGGCTGTGAGCCTTCTCTGCAGGAAGAGCGCTCAGGAGTTGGGAATACATCGCACTGTGATGTCTAGCATGAGCCTCTCCTGCAGTGGTTGGATTCTGTCTAACATGTTAGAACTCCACCATGTAGATGCTGTGAGGTACTATGGTTCTCTCATGAATGGCAAGACTCATCTTTCGTCTTTTTCAGCATGCCTTACATGGCACATGTAAGCATTCCTTAGTAAATAGTCTCGTTACTTCATTAGAATGACAAGGTTTTCCTCACTCCCGATACTCAGGGGAGTTTTATTTCAAATTAATTCACCTTGGCAAGCCTCGGAGTAGCCAGGTTGGTGATACCACTGCAGTTTTGATCCTAACTAGAGTTTTAGAACCAATTTTGCATTCGTTTCTAGTTTACTAAGTACAAGTAGCCGTGTTGTAGAAACAGTGCCCATACGGGGGTTGTGGACCTTAAGGTCCCATGCACGCTTTCTTTAATTACTTTTTCCTTTGTAGGACAGCAAGATAATGAAATGAAATTATCCGGCATGCCCTTGGTAACAAACCATTTCCCTCTGTCAGAGCTGGACTCCCCGGGGAAGTTGGAGCCTGACAGATCAGACGACTCTTCCAGCAGTACTGATGTTCCGGAAGAGGCTTCTTCCCCACTTCAGTCGGATTCCTGCAATAGGTAAGAGCCCTGAGCAGTTGATTGTTGTACCTCTGTCTGTGTCCCAGAGCACAGCTTTGAAGCGTAGTGCATTCGCAGCTGTGTTGCCAACAGCGGGAGCAGGGCAGGGCTTGGAGGGGATGGACGGGTCAGAGGGTGGCTTGGGTTCCCACTGTGTAGCATTTTCCCAGAGTTGAGTGGGTGGGTGGGGGGGGCATGAATGACGATAGAATTTTTGTCAGGACAATGAGTGACGGAGAAAACTGCACTGGAAAGTAGAGCTGACCAGAAAGACAGCCATAGAAGAGTACAGAAAAATAGGCAAATTAACTGAGTACATTAGACGGCTAAGCTTTCAAGTTGAGAGGGTTCTTCCGCCTCCAAAAAAAAAAGATTTAAAAATATATATATAATTTTAAAGATGCGACAATTTTACAGCGTTAAATGACGATCCGTCTCTCTCTGCCACTTCATGTTCCATTATCTCATCAACATTCACCAGGTGCTGGTGGTGGTTGCTAGGGGCCCACAATCTGTTTCCATTATCAGAGACCCTGTGGATGATGGAATGACACCGCGCCCCCCCCCCCCCCCCCAAATCCTGTGCATCCTTGCCCTTGGAGTTCCATTGCCTCCACTGTGTCAGTCCATCTTGCCTCGGGTCTTCCTCCTTTCTGCTGACCCCTTATTTACTCAGCATGATGCGCCTTTCCAGGGACAGCCCTCAGCTCACCACATGTGCCATGTGGGCATCTCCACCAGATGCTATGGGGCGGTGCTTCCGGCCCAGAGCCTTCTATGGGATGGCCCCTTTGGCTTTCATGTCATTTTGATTCTGGTCGAGGTGATGATGGCTTGCTGAACGAATGATACCAATTTTAATTGCTATACCAATAAGATATGGATGCCAATATGTTTAGGAAATAATTTAATCTTTGTGATTTGGTAATTTATTGTGAATGAAGGGGAGTGCAGAGTGGGGACCCAGGGCCCATCGGGGGGAAATTGGACATCCCCTTGCAGAAGGGCTGTGGGGAGGAGAAGAGCATATCAGAGTGCTGTGTAGTAACGATGGACTATGCAATTTTCCTCTAGTTCTTAAATGCTTCCCCCCCCCCCCCCCCCACCCCACACTACCATGATCCCAATTCTACCTTACATATCCGGCTGGACCGGAGGATATACACTGGCACAGATAAGAACTGGAAATACAGTGAACCCAGGACAGATGAACCCCCCAGGACCAGTGGAGAGAGTGGCGATGTCGGGAGGGTGGAGGGAAGGAGAGGGAGAAAGGGGGAACAGCGGACAAGGTGATTTGGTAATTTTAAAATTGCTGAGAGTGCTCTCGCATGACATATTATGTCTGAAACATCAAACGGATACATAAAATCTGAAACATCAACTTAAGAAATAATGTGTAAAATAGATTCAAGAGGAGTAGACCCAGACCCCTTCTGCTCTCTTGGGGTTCTTGAGAAGCAATCTGAAATCATTCATCTTGTACACTCTGTAGGCTTTCGTGGGAGAAAGACGGGACTTTCTACTGCTGCAAAGAGTGACAGTCTCAGAAACACACAGGGGCAGCCCTGTGGGGCAGAGTGGACCCGATGGCAGTGAGCTGTGGTGGCAGGCGGTCCCGGCTCCTTTGCATCGGTGTGAACGTGTCTCCGTTTGTGAACGGAGGTGTTATCTTCCTCGACTGGTTCAGAAATCAGTTTTTCATTAAAAAAAGAAAAGACTAACTTGAGGTGCATGTTTCAGAGTGCGGTCGATTGAATAGGAGGTCTTGAGAGAACTTTCAGTTCCTCCTAAATATCCCCCACGCGACAATATTTTTGTGGATCAACATCCCTGCCCTTCAAACATTGGTAGTTAGAGCTTTCTTTGGGTTTGTTTTGTCTTGTCTTGTTGTCAAGCAAAATCCCTTTGGCCTCGTTCTGGTGAGTGAAATTGAATGGAATACAAATGATACGTAGCTTATAGTTTGTGGAAATTTTGTGTTTTCACCCAGTCGACCAATGTTGTTGTTTTACCGCAGTCACCTTGGACGTTGTGAGCTTCAGAGCTTCCCCCTCTTTTCTCATTTCACAAAAAGCTATCTTTGCTTTTAAGTTCGAGAGACAGATGTTCCGCGATATCAAGACCTTTAGAGCCTGGGGAAAGGGAATATTAGAATGCAAACATGGTCACCGTGGAAGGTACTAAAGGGCACTGACTACAGCTGCTTTCCCTTCGCAGATAAGGAAACGGAGGCCTGGACACGCAATGTGACTTAGTCGATCAGCCGGGTGTTTGGCCGTGACCGTGCGACCTGCATCAGAATTTTTGTCTGGCCACATCATGGGAACCATTGCTCCGTTTGTTAAGAGCTTTTTAATGGGAGTGTTAGAAATCATGAGACATAGACTGGCCGGATGTCCCGTTTCCTTGGGATAGACTGCCTTCCATTTCTTGTCCTGGTGTACTTCCAAAGCCTAACCAAACTCAGTTGCCTCCGAGTCAATTCTGGCGGAGAACGGCCCTGTGGGACAGGCTAGGGCCGCCTCTGGGTTTCCGAGACTGTCAATCTTCACAGGGGCAGACAGTCTCATCTTCCGCCTGTGGAGCAGCTGTTGGTTTTGAACTGATGACCTCTTTGGTTAGCAGGCCAACGTGTCACCCACCACAGCCCCAGGGCTACAAGGCATACTTACTAGTAGCCAGTACTACTCTCCAAGGCCTTACTGGATGGATGATAGCCCGTGGTCACCCTGTTAGAAGGTCTTGCAGTGGGAATTTGTGTGTCTTCTCAGTGATTTTGACACCCACACTCGAACTGAAAGCTGAGTCACGTTCTAGAACATGGGTTCATAGTAAACCGCTGATGTCACTGACTCCTGTCTTTGTTACTACGCCCATGCACAGTGTTCTTCTCCTGAATGACTGAAGCATTAAAACACTGTAGGTTTCAAAAACAGAGACTTTTTTTGGAAAGGTAATCTGCAAAAGCCACTTCTAGAAGCCTCAAAGGTTTCGTGAAAGTGTGACTCTTGTATGCTTCTCCTGCTCTGTTAAGCACGTCATTAGAGTAATTTCTGACCTGTTATTGGAGGACAGGCCATAGTGCAAAAAGAAAATTAAACAGGTGCCTCAGAACGTTAACCGTTAGGCATGAATCTGGTTTCAGAGGGTTGATCCTCAGACGTGTTAGGTCATTTAGTCTTAACACTTCATTGTATGTGCAGATTGAGCCGTCCCAAAGAGGTTAAGCCTCCACTGCCTGAAATCTAGTCATGGAGCTTCATTTTTAAACTCGACCAGATGAAAGACCGGAGGTTTATGACCCGAGGCTTGACCCAACAGTGGGTCCCTGTGCTTTGGGGGTGGCATCGATTAAGACGCTCACATTTGCACAGTGGAGCAAACGTTGTCAGGATGGGTAAGGGGGTAGGTCTTATGGGTGGCCTTGCCTATGTGCATCTCTTCACCAGCCTCATACCCAGCTCCTCAGGCTGGCTAGTCAAAGACGTTTTTAAGTGATGGGGGAAGAATTCTTTTCAGCTTGGCATGTTGCTCACCTTTTGTTTCTCCCGTGGGACTGAATATTCCAACCTATTATGATGGTTTCCTTATCTTTCAGTGTTTGGTTAGTGTTGTCTTAGCCATTTATACTGTTGACAGTAGGAAGAATGAAAACAAAATAAAGCATTCCCACCCCCGCCCCACCCACGTAACTTGAGAGTTGGATTTTGTATCTAGTTTTAGCACTGATGGTTTTCACCATTCAAAAAGAGGTTCTCTCTCATGGGACTCTGAGTGGTGTCTTCTTTTGTTTCTTTTATGAGTCAACTAGAAGTATAAATGCTTCATCATACTTTGCACAAGACTTCCAGAGAGACAGGAAGACACCAGTATTTGAAATTGACCTATGCCCTTTTCTCTTCCTTAAAAATAGAGTCTTTTCATCGTGATTTAGATGGTTTTAAGTGATTGACTGAAGAATGTGTGTAGCATATCAGGCTGTGAGTGGCCAGAGTGGCCGAAGTCTCAGTGGAGACTGGGGATTAATTAGTGCCCTGGTTTACCAGCGACCCGTGGGGCTGGGCACACTCCTATGAGCAAGCCTTGCTTATACTAATCCAACATTAAACAATGGAGAAATAGATTCATGTTATCTCTTGAGTTGAAAGGGTAGTGATAGAATTTGAAGCAGCTCCGGGTTTCTGAGCAGGTAAACCATGGACTGAGTCCGTTGAAACTAAGAGAAAATGATTTAATCTCATACAATCCTACTTAATAGGAAAGCCAGGCTTCCCGAATTCAGATATAATGCTTTCGTCTGCTTGGTTTTCTGTTCAACAAATCCTTGGAAGGCACTGAGATCAGATTGAAAGTCCATGTTTGTTTACATCGATCGAATGAATGGATAGAGTAATAATAAAAGTGACAGGCTTGTGAACGTCCCCATCCTTTATTTTCACGGAACTGCAGGACCATCCAGGATCAAACACTTACTGAAGGCAAAATCCGGCTGGGCGTTATGTTTCAAAATAGCATATATCGTGCTCCTTTAAAATGAAAAATTATCAGTGCATGTGTAAGACATGCTTCTCAGATTTAGAATGAGCCCTAAACATAGAGACTTTCCCACCTCTTAGGTAGAAGGGCCAGGCTGCGAGACGTTTTAAGGATTCAGAGGACGACATGCCAGCTGGGGTTGAACTACCTGAGTTCCTCTCTGGCTCGTGTGGAAAGAGGAGAGGGTACTGGAACTACGGTGGCTGGAAGTGGGCAGTAAAGAGGGAACTGCCAGCTGGGGCTGTTACATACAGGAGAAGGATTTTCAGGTGATTTTTTTTTCAAGGTCCATGTTTCAGTTCAGATGCCTGTATGTTTAAACTGTAAGCCATCATTCTCAGAGGAAGCATGAGACTCCCGCAGTGGGGTGGTATAGAGAGTTCTGCCCCATGACTCTTCTCAGAGTCAGTGAAACATGACGTTGAAATTGGCAGATAAATGTCCTACATTCAATTTGTATC